TAACACAAAAACTGGTCTAAAGTCGGTTAATATGAGTGGCTCTGAAAATGACCGCTGCAGCACTACCGATGGCAACGCATCCCGGGTCTGCTGCGGGGAGTGTAGATCCTGTGCCGTTTGGAGAAATGAACTGTTTTGTTTTCCATTACTGTATACACAGCCTGCACACAACCAATATCACTCTCGATCACGTCAGCGCTGAACTGGCGCCTTCGCCTATGCTCTTCGAAAGCTAGAACCTATCCCAGCTTTACATTAGCGCGTTTTTCTCACCTGCAGTGCTGGCATTGCTGGCAGCGCCATCGAATGTACTATATGGATAAAATGCTGGGAATTTTAATTTTTGGCCGTGCTAATCTTCACAGGGAGCCACAGGGCCCTATCATGGTCTCCTGTGCAATTTCTTCGACAGTGCTATAGGGCTGACGCATGCCATCCATCGTTTGGAGATGATTCGTTGGAAACTGCTGCTGCTGAGCAACGTCATCTGGCACCGAAAATATCTGCGCTATAAATTTTCATGATCGAATTGCGTCATTCTTCTACCAAGCTTAATTTGCCTGCTTATAACGTAAAAATGGTAAAGCCATGGCCACTGATTGGAACATAACTTCTAAAACGGCATTTGTGACCTGCTTCACTAAGAAAATCAGATTCGGTTTCAAGCATTTCAACCACTCTTTGTATCAGCAGAAGTCCTAAATTCGATGCCGTTTTCCATACAGTCCCTTCATGACGTTTGACAAGGTTCAGCAACTTTTCTCTTCGACTTGGTAGACGGCATTTTCAGTGCAGGTCTGTGCTTCAAATGATGTGAAAAACGTTGAATTTGGTTCCTGTTGATCATGGTCAAGCTCTTTAGGGCATTGATTTTCAAGAAATCTCCCAAGGTTGAACGGTTGTAATTTCACGAATGCGACATCTATAAGGACGTTAACTGAAGACAGCTGAGTGAGTAACGAATGACTGTGAACTTAATTGGTGCCATTAGCTACCTCGAAGCCTAAACCTTTTCAATGTGCAATTAGATCAATGACTGATTTTACAGATTCACTAGGCGACCAACAGGACTTGTCATCATCTTGAACAAAGTTATGTTTAAAGGCAGGAAAATCGAACACCACTACCACTGTTGGATAGTAGATCGAGGATGTAGGGTAACTAATCAAACGCAATAGAAGGCATAATGCGACCATGTCACAGCGTAGAGTATCCTTTAATTGATAATAGTCTCATTAGCCGCTTTGTCAGATTCAGAAGTCACAGATGAGATGGTTTGAGCCCGTGTTGAGAATGCCTCCGGAAAGGAAGGATGAGCAACTGCTTCTTGACCAACCGACCAGCTGAAGGCCCATGGGACGGCCAAGATTTACCTGGTACAAATATATAGAAGGAGTCTGTTCCAGACTCCGGTCGTCTTCTACCAAAGTTCAGATTTTGTCAGAGGTCCGGAAACGCGAGAAGTTCTGTCTGACTCGCCAGCCTCCACCACCCGAAAGGAGAAGCGACCATGGAAGATGAAGAAGGCTCATTAACTAAATCGAATGGAAATTCAGTGGATATCATTAGATACAATGATAGACAACGAGAAACTATCGATGTTTTTTATAGTCAATGCCGACTGAACCCCGGAAGCAGGGTTGCCAAAACTTGTCATTATTTTTTGTCGTTATTTCTCTAAGTAAAGAATGATATTTTCGTGTAATGCCACGACAATTTTGATTATCGCACAGTTTTTCTTTGGTGGAAAGCACCATGAGAAATTATGGAAAGATTTGCATAATTTATTATTTCATAGATCTATTCGTTCATGAGAAACGCTTAAAATTTTCAGCATACTTGATTTAATAATCCAATTATTATTTTCTAATACTTTTTCCCTCGTCATGGAGTAGAGCAGCAATGTTTACGTGCTTACTTCAAAATTTAACTTGTGACAAGGTAGATGTGGGCTGCAACATTCATGACCATAAAGAAAATGCGCTTACATATGAAAATCAAATTCATGATGATTCAATGCACTTGCTTTAACCGGCGAAATCGTGAAATTTGGCAACGCCACCATGTTTGCACACTGTATTCGTAAAATGATTATAGCGCTGATTTAATGGCGAAAGCAGATAAGTGAGGATGCGCTGCTGCCCCTCATTCCCGTCTGGGGAATTTTTGCGGACGCCAAACGACTAAGGGTGACGTAACAAAACGCGCTAACGCGATATTTTCAGTGAAAAAAAATTTTACAATTTTTGTATGTCGAAGGTGCACAGAATTTCTTACATTAATTTGTAGTTTGAAGGCAAATATTTTACGTTAAAAATCAGGTTCGTAACCAAACATAATAAAAGATTTAATTAGTCAGTTTCAACAGAACCAAATGCCAACAGCCACACGTAGGAACAAATTGGAAAACAAATGGAGTAAACTAATTTCAAAACCTTTTTATATAAAAAAAACGTCTGCGTACATAATTGATATACACAAAAAAGCATTTTCGCCAAATGAAATATGCAAAACAGATCAGTGCGAAAGAGAGTTGAACAGAATAAAATTCTCCCGGTGTAAAGTGAGAAATATTTTTGGCCTCCTGTACACTCTATATTTTTGCCATTTAATGTAATATCTTCAAAAGCAATGTTGAAAGATTCCCCAGAACATCGAGGCTATATTTATTCGCCTACGGATCGTAACATACTTTGATGAATATACTTTTGTTCAAAGCCGGCGTCCTTTACACTGCAGGCGGTTAAATATCGTGGAGGTGTGACCTGTTTAAATGGTCCCACTAGCATCTAAGAGCAAGAAGGTCGTGCAATAATGCTGCTGGTGTAAAGTGAGAAATAGTCCATTCATTCTTTGCGCTGTGCATTTGCGTCGTTTCAATCCGGTTGCATCATTAAGCTTTCCTGGTGTTAAATAAGAGCATTACTTTATAAATCCTATAGCATGAAACGAAGTCATATTGAAGCCTTGAGCAAATTGATATAAGAATTGTCATAATCATGCTTGCCTTCATAATTTTTGTTGCTGGTTAGTCACCTTATTTTTGGTTATTCTCATCTCGCTGTCATTATGACTTGATTGTGTCAATGAATCAATTCGATTACCTTTTCATTTTGTATTCTCAATGTATTCTGACATCGTTTATACATGTTCCTCTCATATAATATTCTCTTTAGACGGTCACGCATGATGCAAAACGTCAGA